ATATAATTACTAGAGGCCCGGTGCACAAATTCGTTCACAGGTGGGGTCCCTTGGCCTGGCCGGTGATCGAGGACTATTGGGGGCTGGCTGGCCAGGGGGAGGGGCCATGGGAGGTTGGCGGTGGGGGGGAGGAGCCACGGGAGGTTGGCTGGCCAGGGTGGAGGGGCCACGGGAGGTTGGCGGGAGGTTGGCTGTGGTAACCCACTGACCACCAGGGGGGCAGCAGCTCCGGTGTTGAATGTCTGCCCCTTGGTGGTCAGTGCATGTCATAGCAACTTGTTGACCAGTCGTTCCGGTTGTTCAGTCATAATGGTCGCTTAGGCTTTTATATATATAGATTTTTTTATCATAGTATTCTAATAAATAGACAATCTTAGTTAAAAATGCTTCAATCCTTACTCAACTAAACCATGATTATAATCTTTAATATCTACCAGTTGCTTATGGCAGGGATAGGCAAACAACATTTAGTGGACCAAATATGGCCACTGCCTGGTTTTATAAATTAAGTTTTATTAGAACACAGCTCACTCACTTGTTTGTGTACTGTGTAAATCTACTTTCATGACACAATGGTAGAGTTATAAGTAGCTGTGACAGAGATCATATGGTCTGTCAAACCTAATATATTTACAAAAAGATGGATCGGGTTCTTTAGAGAAAAGCTGCTGATCCGTAGATACCTAGCATTTAAAGTTAAAAAGAATTAATGACACTTTCTTTATGTAAGAGATTTCTTTCAATGACCAGTATGCTGGACTATAAACTCCCCAAAGACAGAGATTATATTTTAATCAAATGCATAACCCTACTTTCTAGCAAAGTTTCTAGAATATGATGAATGCAGATTGCTGTTAAAAACACCTGAGAAATAAAAAAAAACCCTGAAAATTATAATAAAAAGGTAAATACATTTTGAATCATTCATGAGATTAGTATGAGACCTTTAATTAAAAAAATGGTAGTGCAGTCTAGTATTTTTTATGTCCACTGATAACCATAATTTAGAGTAGCGGTCGCCAACTTTTCAGACCGCACGGACCACCAGTCCGCGGACCACTGGTTGGTGACCGCTGATTTAGAGCACAGATTAATGACTACTCAGCATCATTTCTGTGTATAACATACTTTTAAATGACACATTTTCAGGATTTTCAAAGTTGTCCGTGACACTTCTGTGCAGTATTGATCTGAAAATATATATTTCTTACCCCTAGGATTTGTGAGTTTATGATTACAATGTCTATCTGATTTTTATATCGGCAATTTTAGGATTCAGAACTTTTAGTTACCCAATCACTTAGGTTTTATGGCTAGTTATTAAAAAAATACAAAAGGACTGCAGCAATTCAAAAATACTTGGTTTTGATTTACTATTACAAAGATGATGGGCTACCATTTTGCATGTATGAGTGGGATTATTTTTTATTTTTGCTTTCTTTATAGGCAAGTTAAAGCTCACAAAGAAATGACAAATTTACAAAATTGTAAATTACAAAAATCTTTTCCCTATCTTTACTCAATTATTTTTAAATATTTTTATTGATTTCAGAGAGGAAGGGAGAGGGAGAAAGATAGAAACGTCAATGATGAAAGAGAATCACTGATCAGCTGCTTCCTGCACACACCACACTGGGGATCAAGCCTGCAACCTGGGCATATACCTTGAACTGGGAATTGAATCGTGACCTCCTGGTTCATAGGTCAACGCTTAATCACTGAGGCATGTTGGCCAGGCTTGTAGTATAGGTTTTAAAGTAAAACAACTCATAAAAAATATTACTGAACTCATTTCTGATGAAAACTTTATTATTTTTTTACCTTTCATCAAGATAGATTCTCAGTTTTTTCCAATTTAGTGTTCTTGTACAGAAGATAAACTTTGCTATTTCCTTTGGTGAGTCGTCTAGGATACCCTTGGACATAAAGTAGTTCACTCCCTAAGGCAGAAATACAAATCTCATAAATAAAATCAGTCTTTATTTATAAATTTAGCAATTAGGCAATAGCAGAACAATAGCTATAATTCTTTCTAGCATTAAATATACTTTGTATAGCTTTAACATGCAAAATACAAGCTAGAACTTGAACTGAAACTATTACTTGTGGCTGACAGTTTACATGCAATGAAAAGTAGGAAATTCAAAGTTAAGACTCCTAAAAAAATCCTAATTAAATTTTCTGGCTCATGTCACTTAAAACTAACTATACAGAAATACAGCCTAAATTAGAGGAGGGTGTTGAAGAGGGGAGGGAAAAACTACTATATAGACTTCAAAATAAGCCTTATCACAAACACCTTCACGGTCTAATAAAAAAACAACAACATGATTTCTTAAAACTCAGATACATGTTCTAATACACTTTTCAAGGAAAAAGGTTCTTGAGAAGATTCTCCAAATGAAAGACCAACAACTTGATTCTGAAAAGAAAAATAATTAAATTATTTAACTTAAAGCAAAGTGGGCACAATTCCCAGGCAGTTTATGGGTTGTTCACTTTGGCTTTAAGCATTGCTATATTCGTCAAGAATTTAGCTCCAATACACACTGATGCAAAACATAAAACAAAACAATTTATGTTTTCATAGGATTTATCTTTGAATTTCCTTTTCTCTGCATGCAAAGTTTTCCAGAGAAGCATTACCCATAATTTTGTACCTACTTTAGGTTTAAAACAATGACAAAACATCAACATAAAATCAAACGCTAAAACCAATCAATGTTCTCTTATGTATATGGAAATCACATTCAAATAACTGCTCTATGTGGATTTGAATGTGCAATTATTGAAATAAAAGGCAGGTGTGTTTATTTCAACTCACAGTTATTCAGATACTTGCATTACCACGAATGCTTATGTCTGGATAATAGCACATTATGTACTGTTAATTGGCAGAGAAAATGACGTAGTATATACACCCAACATATTGTTTTCACACATAAATTCCTTCAGCATTTCTTTCCTTTATAAACACTTACTACTCAGAAATATTAGACACATTAAGAAATCAAAAGTTGTAAGATTTTTATAAAAGACTCTTAAAACCCTCTCATAAAATTTTTACATTAAAATTTTTATAACAACTTGGTACCATGAGGTAATGCTTTTGAAAGGTTATAATTATCTATAAATTATAATTCAAAGATAAGGTTTTTATATAAAACTAATTGTATGAGGCATCAGATAACACCTTAATGAGTATTTTAATAGTATAAAAACAATCCTAAAGCACTGACTTAAAAAATGTATATAAAGAACAGAATGTGATATCATGAAACTTTCTTGTCAACTCGATTGCAAGCTGTATTTTAGACTGCATCCTGGATTCAAGGCTAGAGAATGTCACATGATCAAGATGGAAAGCCGAATAATTTGTTTGGAATGAGGCTTTCAGAAATTGTCTGAGGGGGCAGGACTAGAGAAACAGTAATGCTTGTTCCATCCTTTCCTCCATTAGTTTGAATAATCGAGAGTTGACTGTATATTTAATTGACCCACCCAGCAAAAATGGTCAGTTTTTAAAATAAAATCCCTGCATTTAAAAGAATAACATATCAGAAGTGCTTAATTTTAATCCAAGTGATTCAAAGATGAAGTGTCAATTAAAGATTATTTAATAGGTTATTTATTCATACCTACTTATAAATCAATATTTAAGACATATAAAACTATTTCTAACCTATTTTTTAAAAAATTACATAAAATATAAAAAACCACTAATATGATTCATTAAATAATACATAAATCTCTAATTACATGATAAATACCATTTTAATATAATTTGATGCTTCTTAGTTATAAATTAACATTGGTATCTACATCAAGTATGTACACTGTTGGTCATTTCCTTTTTTATGGGTTACATGTTTTTAGACTTTAATATCTAACCTAACTTGTCCAGGCTTGCACATGTGCAAAAGCAATAGAAATGCAAAGGAAATCTTTTAAAAAACATGAAAAAGAAACTCATATGCTATCAATCCAGAGAATAAGTAAAAGACAAAGATAACTGATGTTTCTGGCTTAGATGCAGAGAGAAATGACTGACAGAAAAAAAATAATTGATAGCAAAAATCCCACAGGTTTTAGAGGGCATTGAGTTGATGGAAACAGTGATGGTCTTAGAAATGTTGACAGGTACAACTAGAAACGTACAGTAGGCAGTTGGCAATTTAATAAGACATAAAGGAAAAAAATGAGGGTTGAAGGTACAGACTAAGGATCTTCAATAAGAAGACTCAGTAAGAGAACAGGTAATGAAGAGAGCAGGGATAGAGTAATGCCCCGGAGGGTAAGGTCTCGGAAATGAAAAGTTTACAATGCAATGACATAGTATAATTAAAGGAGCATAGTGTTCAGAAGAGGGACCAAATTTTGGCTCTTCCACTTAATGATTATGTTAACATAAACAATTTACCCAGGAGCCTCGGTTTCCTAATCAATAAAAATTAAAAGGCTTTTGTGTGGATATGAAAGTGCCTAGCATAGAACATGGCTAGTTTCCTTTGTCTTTTAGATAGCCCAAGGAGACAAAAATGGGAACGAGGGCATGGATTTGGTGATTGAGAGAAAAGAAAGTAGTGACTTTTAAGGTCTCTTTCCAAAAGTAATGGGGACTCTCAAGTCCAAGTAGAAGCTAAGGAAGGAACACAAGGCAAGACCATTCACTTGAAAAATGTATTAGTACCAAGGAGGAAAAACATGGCAAAATGAAAGGGCAAAAGGTACAATGAATTTTTTTCCAAGAAACAAAAGAAGGAACATCAATGGAGAGAGGAAAAGACTGAAGTGCAGGAAAAAGATGAGATAATGGGAGCAGCAAGGTAGAGAAAAGGGGAACAAGGGAAAGGATTGAAAAGACAGGTGAGTTCACTGTGCTTTCTAAGCCTGACAGACAGGACAGTACTGTTGGTCCAGAGACAAGGGTACCAAAAGTGATAAAAGTAGAAAGCAGAGTGCATGCTGTTTTCTTCTTAGGGAGGACAAATGATTTGGAAGGGGTTGGAAAAGAGAGTTGATTGGGATTCTGAAGCAAAATGGTAAAGATTTCTATCAACAATGGTGGAGGGTATAAAAAATCCTTGAAGGCCTGGCGGGTGTGGCTCAGTGGTTGAGCATCAGGCTATTAACCAGGAAGTTAGAGTCATGGTTAGATTCCCAGTCAGGGCACAAGCCTGGGTTGTGGCTCGATCCCCAGTTGGGGGTGTGCAGGAGGCAGCCAATCAATGATTCTCATCATTGATGTTTCTATCTCTCTCTCTCTCCCTCTTCCTTCCTCTCTGAAATAAAAACATAAAAAAATGAGAACTCAGGTAAAATTAATTCATCCCATCTCAGGTTAAGCTTTTCTTTAATAGAACAGATGTTTTCAGCAATTCAAGAAAAAAAAAAAAACACCAAGAAATTTTGTAAAGCAGTCTCCATAGAGTATAGTATTCCACTAAAATTTTTTATGCAAATGTAGCACCAAGACTTACACGATAAAATTAGGGTGGTGAGCTGTTTTGAAGTCATTTGTTAGGTGGCAAAAACCAAATAATTCAAGAAAACATAAACAAGTCACTAAAACCAATATTAAGAAGTAATTTAGAATGAAGAAAAGATGTGTTGGAGCTAGTCACCTATATAATGCATCTCTCCATTTACTTCTTAACTGTGAGAATGGCTTCCCACATAATAATTCATGTTTTAAGATATAGCTACTTTTTTTCTTCTATTACATAAGTACTCCTTATTTTCTCTCACCTTTTAAAAAAGCCAATTAAAAAAAATCAAATTACTATATCCACAGTTGTGCTTCACAAGCAAAATCTACCATACATATGTTCAGAACTAAAAATATACATATTTGGGTACAAAGCGAATTCTAAAAAAACTAGGCATGCAAAGCCAAATAGGAAAGTACTGGCTTTTGTTGTAAACTTAATACTACTCTTAAAAATAAAAGTCTTAATTTATAAAAAGTACTGTTGGAATTCAAAATACTGGCTATCGGCACAAGCACTTTGCAGAAACACTGTGTAACAGTTGGTCAATAAAGGAAACCATTAATAAAACAACACTGTGGCATACCGGGGATTACCCTTAATTTATTTTCCTAAAAGACAGCTTAGGATATACAATTAGATTTAGCTAGTTTTGTTCAAATCTGCCATTGTATACAATGTGAAAATCCAGTACCTTGGCTACTACTTTTTAGGCAATAAACCTGTTGCTAGAGCATTACATAATAGGAAAAGCAAACTGGACAGTGTATTTAATTTTATTTTAAAAAAATTGAAGGCTTTTAAAATAACAATCCAAATATTTTAACAATAAATATTTATAAAACAAAACAGTTCAATCTAGATTTCTAATTTTCTTTTAATATGACACTAATATATTAATATTCAAGTATACATTTTATCCACAGTGAAATAAAAAAAAATTGAAATGCAATATTTTCACATCAAAAGCAATGATATAAAAGTTAGGAGATACAATATATGTTATGAAAATTTTATTTTCTTAATTACTTCTAAAAATAATTAGCATATCAGAGGACAGCCCTCTATAGGTCAAATAGTATTCCCATTGTCTTGGTTGAAAATAACAGCATCAATGATTAAGATGACTTCTAATACCATTTCTTCTTTTTCAGAGTGCTTTCAGAATTACTAAGAAAAATGTTAAATCTATTAATTTTTATTCTGTCCAGCAGTTCTCATTTTCCCTATTTAGTCATATAACGTGTCCTATCATTAAGGGGGGAAAACCCACATAGAATTTGCATAGGTAAAATTCACCTAGGGATATGTATGTTATTCTGCAAATAAATATCAACATCTTGCTTTAGAGTTGAAGTAAAATAAATGCAGAAGATTACAATATGGGAAGGTTTAAGACTAGGTATCTGTTTTTTGTCCTGTCATTCTAGTTCATTCTACCCAATAACTTT